TTTCAGCAATTAACAAATCACATTTCTTTAATTTTGATAAGTTATAAATGTGATTAATAAAATATTATTACAAATAAATTCCAAAAATATCTTTAAGCTCACAAGTTAATCTTATACTCTTAGTAAAAGAAGTTATTAAAATTGTAATTAAAAAATGTAAAGGTGAAGATGAGAGTATACTGGGCAAAAGCCTTCAATGAGACGCTGAATGGACAATCAACCATTACAAAATGAACCCAAAAAGAAAAATGGAGCCGAAGAAGTTAAAAGATGGCAGAAAAGATTGGGTGCTTGTTCTTGGGCTGACCCAAATCTTAGAAGGCTCAAGTAGTGAGACTCTGGCTGGACACTTGGGGAAATGGATTCGAGAGTCCATTTCGTTAAGATCCAATTAAATGGGCCCACACCAGATTTGTAGCCGCCTCGGCCTGAGGGTCCTTGCCTTAAAAGGAGTATTAAAACGAATAAAATAATAATTAAACATGAATAAATATGGGCCGCCAAAACTTTTGAGGTTGTCGGTTTATTAGGCAAGGTCCCCAAGTAAATAAATCCAATACTAGGGACCGATCAGTAAATCTGGTAAGTTCTTCTCCCTCTCTCTTTTCAACTAGTGTCATACTATTATAACTGAAATGATGAATTACCCAACCCATATTACCCTAGCCTCCCTCTCTTTTCCCCAACCCTGAGTTCAACTTCTAGGGTTTTCATTATTTTTAAAAGAGGAATTTTTCTCAACCGACCGAATCAAATTTCCCTTTCCATAACGTTTAGGGTTTTGGATGGGTACGGAGAGGAAGAGGAAGGTGAGCTTGTTCGATGTGGTGGATGAGACATCGGCTAAGATCTCGAAATCGAACGGCGGGGGGTTAGCGGCGATGAACGTCAACAGCTCGATCAACAAGTGGAATGGAAGGCCTTATTCGCAAAGGTATTACGAGATTTTGGAGAAGAGGAAAACGCTCCCTGTTTGGCAACAGAAAGAGGAGTTTTTGCAAGTGTTGAAAGCCAATCAAACGCTTATCTTAGTCGGTGAAACCGGTAGCGGTAAAACTACTCAGGTCAGTGAAACGAAAAATTGAAATCCCAACTTTTTCAGCTGTAAATTTTTGCAATTCATTCTGATTTACTACGAACAATTATTACGGATTTCTATTTGAGGAAAGAATTAGGGAGTTAGATTTCTAGGTTTTTTTTGTTGTACAGATACCTCAGTTTGTATTGGACGCTGTGGATATAGAAACTCCAGATAAGCGGAGGAAAATGATGATTGCGTGTACACAGCCACGAAGAGTGGCTGCAATGTCCGTTTCGCGGCGTGTTGCTGAAGAAATGGATGTAACTATTGGAGAGGAGGTTGGTTATAGTATTCGTTTTGAAGATTGCAGTAGTGCAAGAACTGTTTTAAAGTAAGCTTATCTTTCTTGTTAACATATTGGGTATTGTGTGGTGTCTACATGGATATGAACTAGCGATGTTAAGGTTTTTTTTACTTGTCAGGTATCTAACTGATGGTATGCTTTTAAGGGAAGCGATGACTGATCCTCTTTTAGAAAGATACAAAGTTATTATTCTTGATGAAGCCCATGAAAGAACTTTGGCGACGGATGTGCTATTTGGGCTTCTGAAAGAAGTGTTGAAGAATCGAACTGATCTTAAGCTAGTTGTTATGAGTGCAACGCTTGAGGCAGAAAAGTTTCAGGGTTATTTTAATGGCGCTCCACTTATGAAGGTTCCTGGTAGGCTTCACGCTGTGGAGATATTCTACACTCAGGAACCTGAAAGGGATTACTTGGAGGCTGCAATTCGGACTGTTGTGCAGATACACATGTGTGAACCTCCTGGTGACATACTTGTTTTCCTGACTGGAGAGGAGGAGATAGAAGACGCATGTCGTAAAATAACTAAAGAAGTTGGAAACATGGGGGATCAAGTGGGACCTGTTAAAGTAGTGCCTTTATATTCAACTCTTCCACCAGCAATGCAACAGAAAATTTTTGAACCTGCTCCACCTCCTGTGAAGGAGGATGGTCCTCCTGGAAGGAAGATTGTGGTGTCAACAAACATTGCTGAAACTTCCTTGACTATAGATGGCATTGTTTATGTTATTGACCCAGGGTTTGCTAAACAAAAGGTTTATAACCCACGAGTGCGTGTTGAATCCTTGCTGGTATCTCCGATATCAAAGGCAAGTGCACACCAAAGATCTGGTCGTGCTGGAAGAACTCAACCTGGAAAATGTTTCAGGCTATACACTGAGAAGAGTTTCAGTAATGATCTGCAGCCACAGACCTATCCTGAAATATTAAGATCAAACCTTGCAAATACAGTTCTCACTTTGAAGAAACTGGGAATCGATGATCTGGTGCATTTTGATTTTATGGACCCACCTGCTCCAGAGACATTGATGCGGGCATTGGAAGTGTTGAATTACTTGGGAGCATTGGATGATGATGGGAACTTAACAAAGTTGGGAGAGATCATGAGTGAATTCCCCTTGGATCCTCAAATGTCAAAGATGCTCGTTGTTAGTTCTGAATTCAACTGTTCAAATGAGATTCTTTCAATTGCTGCCATGCTTTCAGGTATTTTTATTTGCTTTCTAGCATGCTTTTCTGTGTTTGTGTTGAGTCACGTCTTAGGAAGTGGTTGTCATGGGGCTCTTATCATTCTTGATATTGTCCCCCTACCTGAATAGTTTGCACAGAGGCTTGTGCACAACACTGGATGTTTAGCTGTTTACATGCATACACTTGTATGCATTGATACAGCTAAAGTTGTAATGTGTCCTAGGTTGTCATCAGCAACTGTCTTGTCTGGGTTCCATGTCCCCCGTTGGCATGCACCATAGGATTTCTAAGTAAGTGCTGATGCAGATAGTTGCAGTTTCTCAGTATTCTCTCATGAAGCAAATGGTGTCCTCTCGCCTGTATGCCTCTGCTGACCTACCGTGGGCCTCTTCTGTGATAACTAAATTCTTTCTTTAGTACCCAATTGCTTTGTCCGGCCTAGGGAGGCACAAAAAGCTGCAGATGAAGCAAAAGCTAGGTTTGGGCACATTGATGGGGATCATCTTACGCTTTTGAATGTGTACCATGCTTACAGACAAAACAGTAAGTACTTAGATCCTTTTCCCTAAAGATGACTGAAATTTATTTGCTAGCAGCAATTGATCTAAGAGTCTTACAATCTGTGAAAAAACTGCAGACGAGGATTCATCTTGGTGCTATGAGAATTTTATCAACCATAGAGCACTGAAGGCTGCTGATAATGTTAGACAACAGCTGGTGCGCATAATGGCCAGGTTTAACCTCAAGCTGTGCAGCACTGATTTCAACAGCCGTGACTACTACGTCAACATTAGAAAGGCTATGCTTGCTGGGTATTTTATGCAGGTAGCTCATCTGGAGCGCACGGGGCACTACTTGACAGTTAAAGACAACCAAGTCAGTACAATGTTATCTTTCTGTTTTCTTAACATGTTTTCTTTCTTGGCAAAGTCTTCCCCCATTTTGGAGATGCACGGGAGGGATGTAACAGGGTTTGTTGCCCTATTTATTTTGCAGGTGGTGCACTTGCATCCATCAAATTGCCTGGATCACAAGCCAGAGTGGGTCATCTACAATGAGTATGTCCTGACAAGCCGGAATTTTATTCGTACTGTGACAGACATTCGTGGTGAATGGTTAGTCTCTCCTTCCCTATAGTTGTCACTTGTGGTTGTGATTGTTTCTTCCTGGTAGCTCATGATCCAAGGAGAAAGAGCTATGACTTAAGGGAATTTAGAAACCCTGAAATAGTTCTAAAAAAATTTTCTTCGATTAATTGATAATTGATAAATATACATGCATCTGTGATGAATACAGGTTAGTTGATATAGCACCGCATTATTATGATCTTGAAAACTTCCCACAGTGTGAGGCCAAGCGAGTTCTTGAAAAGCTTTACAAGAAAAAGGAGAAGGATAGAGAGGAGAGTAGGAACAGAAGATGAAGCTTACATCCATACGAGTTGTTTTGACTGCAATTTTTCTATGGTGCTATTGCGTTATTCCATATGTTGGTGGACAAATTGGAAGATAGCAAAATTTCTTGTATCATTATAAGAGTAGGACGTTCGTCCCTATCTTTTACTATTGTACTATCATTCCAAATTTGTTTAGTTGCTATTTTTATCATTTAGTTGTTGAACAATTGAAATGGTCCAAAAGGAAAAAGGAGAAAAGAGATTGATTTTGGAGCTAGTAAGTCTCGGTTAACCAGCGCTTGGTCTCATTCCCTGTAATAAATTGAACTCTCCTGCTTTTATCTCGGGGACTTAATCTTCGCTGAATAATTCTGAAACTTTCCCCAGTTTTTTAATTCGAGTCATGCTGTTGTCTTCTGTTTGATGCATTGCTTCTATAACCATGCAAGATTAGGAAGAACATTATCTTTAGGGTATGAAGCTTTTGATTGTCTCTGCATTGTCTATGAGGCTGGGCTCGACTTGGTTTGGACTGCCTAAAGCCCGAGAGCATTGGGGTCTGGGGTTCGGTCTTAGGATGATATATATGTATATATATGTATATATAACTATTGGACCAGTTATAGGAAATTTAAAAGAATAAAAATACGTTTTGGCAGGAGAAAAGTGAGGAAACTTGCATTATAGGCGACTCTTTTCGTTCGCCTCCCGTTCTGTATTAGTTTCACCAAGTCCCAAGTTTTCCACGCAACCAGATTCACAGTGGTAAACAATAGTATTTCCAGCTAATCCCGAAATGCTGGTGGTCTATGGATGAAGCACCTGTCATGAAGGAATTAAGAGTGATGTTTATGGAATTTTGTTTGTTAATGAGAAGGTAATGACGAGGGCCCTCGAGGAATGCCCTTGTCTCTGTTGGTTTTTTATCTTATTTCTCAAAAATGGCGACTTGATAAAGAACTCAACGAAATTGATTCATTTAGAATCCCGTTTTGGGTCCAGGTTCAGAACATTCCTTTAAAATTGCTTACTGAACAGAATGCTGAGAAGATTGGTAGAGAGATAGGAGATTTGTTAGAAGCTGAAGATCCTCTTTGTTGAGAAGGAATTGTTAGGAGAGGTATTTTGAGGGTCAGAGTTTCAGTTGATGCTCTGAATCCGTCAACTGCTGGGTGCCCGAGATAGGCTGAGAGAGAGTGTGGGCAGAGTTCAAGCATGACAAGCTGTGGGATTCTTGTTTTGGCTGTGAAAAATTTGGTCACTTGACGAGTACATGTGAAGAAGTTAAAATGGCAAGTTCTGATTCGTAGGGTGCTTAGATATGGGCCTCATCTGCAAGCAATGCCAGCAAGAGCTGTTTCTGATGAAGATTTTTGCCTCGAAAGGCAGTTTCCAAAGTCTCTGCTGGTTGGAGAAGGAATCTATGGCAGTGTCAAGTATACAACGGAGTTGAAGCCACTCTGAATGGAGACTACGTGATCAATAAATGGAATTACAGGCCTTACTCGCAGAGGTATTACAAGATACTTGAAAATAGGAAGACTCTGCCTGTTTAGCAGCAGAAGCATGAGTTTTGCAAGCTTTGCAATCTAATCAGACACTAATCTTGGTGGATGAGCTGGTGCTGGTAAAACCACTCAGGTTTGTTTCAGGGGAGCAAAAATTTACTCTTTCTTTTTTTCACTGTGAACATGAGTTGTTTTGTGTTCATTTCTTAGCTTGGATTATAGGTTCCTCATTGAACATGGTAAAAGGGTTTCAATTTGTGGGAAAACCTCCGCGTTTAACAATTAAGCAGTTGAAAAGGTCAATCTTTGTCATTCGGTTCGCATTCATGATGAAAAAAACTACTCACTCGACGTTTTTGGTGACGCTAGATATTGTATGGTTCACTTTGTGGAATTGACTAAGGATATTTCTGTTTCACAGATTCCTTAGTTTGTCTTGGAAGCTGTTGTTCTTGAAACTCCAGATAAATGCTGAAAGATGATAATTGCTTGCACTCAGCCTGGAAGAGTGGCTGCAATTTCTGTTTCGCGTTGAGCTGCAAGAGATGGATGTAACTATTAGACAGGAGGTTTGTTATAGCATATTTTTGAAGACTCTGGCATTATCACTCGCTCAATTGCTTCTACATGAGTGGAAAAGTTCTTTCTTTTTTGGGATGTTTTGGCCAGTATCTAACGAATGGTATGCTTGTAAGGGAAGGAATGAGTGATCCTCTTTTGGAAAGATATAAAATGATTATTTTTTATGAGGCCCATGAACGGACTCTGGCTACAGATGTGCTGTTTGTGCTTCTGAAAGAAGTGTTGAAAGTATCGACCTGACCTTAAGCTAGCTGTTATGAGTGCAGCAGTTGAGGCGGAAAAGTTTCAGGTTTATCTTAATGGAGCACTGGTTATGAAGGTTCCTTGATTATAATGAGCTGATATCAAATCATGCTTGAGGCTTTGATATGAAAACCACCTAAGAATTCACCTCGAATCTTCAACTCTACATGATGAGCCAATGCCAAAACATTCTTAATGTTTCATATAATTCAGGGTTCTTTGCTAAAATTAGCGACCAAAGAATCAAAAACTGTTCTATTTTATTTTTCTCACTTGTAGCCCCCAAAGAAACCTAGATCCATGAGATCGTGGTAATCACAATCTGGATACCAATTTCTCACAAATCAAAACATCATCTATACAAATCCAGATGTCGAGTCCAAAAGGCTAAACTAGTCAGGCACCCAGGCGAAGGGTTTGCACCTAAGAAGCCTATTGTACTAAAGGGTGTACAGCCATATTGGTTCATTTCACTTTCACAGGGATTCAACCCGACTATGAGCCTTCTGTTTTGAAGTATTTCTCTTTTTCGTTCATCTGCTTCTAGGGCCTCAGTTCAGTTAAGACTACTCCACGTCCGTGTTTCAGTATGGATCTTATTAATGCTGAAAAAGCTGCAGGATAATTCATTTTCAATTTTGAAATACCTTCTGTGGCAAATTCACAAAGTTCCAAACCTGAGTGCAAACAAAAGGCTCTACTAAATGCATCCCAAACAATTACATCAGACTCAAATGTCATACCCTTTATCAATTTCTCTGCTTTATCCAGCTGACCTGCTTTCCCATAGATCTCCACCATACAAGCATAATGCTCCAACCCTGCTTGTATTTTATATTTCTGGCCCATGGAGTTGAAGTGCCTCTCACCTTCTTCAACCAACCCATTATCCCTACATACATATAAAATGTTAACAAATGTAACCTGATTAGGTCTGAAACCACTGTTCATCATTCCGTCCAATTCCTCCAATGCTCTTCTTCCGAGCCCTTGTCTTACATAACCTCCTATCAAAGAATTCCATGAAATTGGATTCTTCTTCCACATTCCCACCTGAAGTACAAAATTGATGAGAAGGTGCAATTACATGTTGGTAATAGAACATATGATATGTTCGTTCATGAAATATTTCCTGAAGTTTCGATTGAATTCCCCTCGGCTTCTAGTTCACTGGAATGGAAAACAAGTCAAATGGAAGTAACGAGTCTATTGCAAATGGAAGGTGGGATGTATTAATCCACTGTGAGTGAACGGTAAAGAGTTGCAGGAGCTTATCGACGTAGAAGATGAACGGCTTAGACCAGGAAGGAAGGAGACACAGGTGCTGTTGCTCGGTTACGAAGTCAGTAGATTGGGCCTGTCTTAGGAGGATCACAGATTGAACTGTTGACAGAGACCAAAGTGTTATTTTAATAGGAGCCCAAGTACCCGAACAGGCTCATGGGTCCATTCCAACTGTAGTTTAAAGGGGAAGTGAACAGCGTCCGGTAATGGTGGGCCTCATAGTGAACTGGGCAGAAAAAATAGGAAGCCCGTTCTGCTATGGGCACCCAAGTAAGGGAAAGCCACTTGACGCTTTACCGTCCCAAGTTATAGAAAGGGTTGATTGAAGTTTGAAGGTGCTATGGTGGCGGGATGTCGGATTCAAACGGTGAAGTACGGCAGATATCATTGAAGAGTAACAAGGTGTTGAGTGAGGTGGTTATTTGAGCCCACCATCAATTTTAATCCAAAAAATTAGTGAAAAGGTGGTAATGGATTTTGTTCTTATGATGGTTTGGAAACGTTTGATGGTTACTGTCAGGTGAATTGGGGTTAGAGTTATGTTGTTTTGGTGTTTAATGCCCTTTGTTCCATGGGGTTTCTGTTGAGTGAAATCTGAGGTTTGACTTCTATGTTGTTTCTAGTGTTGATATGCATGTGGTGATCATTTGATGACTCCTGTTCTATGGTGGTTTTGGAGCCGATTGATGATTTCTTCTAGAAGAAATCAGGTGATGGTTTCTATGTTGTTTCTAATGCTGTTGTGTATTGGATGGGTTGTTTGCTTTCTATTGGTTTAGGATGGTCTCACGGAGTCCGGTGAAGATTATAAGTAATGGCAAAGAGGTTGCATTGGAAAGGAGAGCATAAAAGCCCGGGTGGTTTTTTGTTCACGATGTAGATGAAATTTTTTGTTTCAGGTGCTTGAAGGGAATTGGGATTTCGGCGTTGAGGTGTTACAACTTTTCTTTCTTGCGTAATGTCTGTGTTAGTGAGGAGTCTTGAGTTTTTGGTGCTGGTAGGCAGTACAGCTCTTGTTTAAGGCGTGTTCTGTTTCAATGTCCACACCTGCTCTTATGGTAGTGGATCAAGCGTTTGATGGATAAGCTTTGGATTGTTTGAAGAGAATTCTTCGTTATGTGGTGGTGAGGTTGATGTCAAAAAAGTTTACGTGCAGAGCAAGTGCTAGATTACGTGCGGCGCTGACTGTTTGTTGATGCAGATTTCACAATTTTGGCTCGGTGTAGATTGTTCCATATGCTTCGCAGGGTCATGTTTGCTGTTGATTTATTTTGAGATATTATTTCCAAAGAATAAAATATGATCTTATTCTTTTTAGGTGATTAATGAGATATTAGGATTTAATCTAACAACTATAAATGTATTAAATATTTTACTTCATTAAAAGGATTTGCATTTGGTGACCTAACCGTATATAGATACATCAAATATTAATCATTTACTTTCATGTGGTTGTATGTAGATGACAATTTTTTTTAATTTGTAGTATGGTACTCTAGGCGTGTATGCACTATGTCATGAACATTCCTGGTTTCCAGTGTTCAAGTGCTCTTAGGAACCTCTATGTTCGTATATAATAAATAAATTCATTGACTGATAAAATAAGAATAGTACGGGCATTCATCAACACAAGCTTGTAACACCATTTTTTTGTCCCAACTATTTCTACACTTTGATTTGCAAAAGTTACATCTATCTTGCAGTAACGATGATAGTGGGAGGTTATTCCCATAGCATAGACACATAAACTTTAGCTTCAGCTTCACTTCTTTGCAGTCAACTTTTGATAGAGTGCATCAATTTCGGCCTGCTCAATATAACGTAAAATAACTTTTTCGTCTCTCGGACCTTTGCTAGAAAGAAGCATATGAAAAAAAATGTCAAAGTTACGCAAATTACCTGATAATATTTAAGCAGGTTGTTTCTTTTTTTCTTCAATGTTGCAGTCACTAGATCTCTTTCCATGTCAAATGGGTAGGGTTCCAAGATGACTCCTTTGATAAATTCAAAACCTCTCATCTGGTTTTCAGAACATACAGAAGTGAATAAACGAAAAATTAAATGAATAAGAGGAAGAAAGGGGCTGCTTGGTCTTGGTGTAACAGTGATTATGAAGGATGTTAAGAGGGGCTTAACGATCATGAAATAAAATACAAAAACTGATGAGGTTTACCTTGCATATGCTGAAAGCATATATAGTAATTCATGAAGTGGTTAAGAATAAAAGAAAGTTCTATTCAGGAACCCCAATTTTCATAATGTGGGTAGTTATAAGCTGTTGTTCTGAATGCATTCTTATGTGAAAGTTTTGCTTTCTCTACATACATACATGCATGTGTTTTGGCATGCAAGAATTTGGAGGAAAACATACTTGGATATCTTATAATAAAAACTATTGCAGCAGCAGAACGGTAGATTATTTCTAAGTTTTGCATAAGGCCACTGATCTATGCCTTTCAGTTAAGACCCCCAAGATTTCAATTTCAACGGAACACACAAGGAAAAAGAACTAGTAAAACGTACCCAAAAATTTCAATTCTCCAGTAATGAGATGGCTTGAATTTAAGATATTACCTTGTTTTTCTCAGCTGTGGATTTAAGCTCTGAGAGGACATAACTCTGTAGCTGATTGACAGAGCAGAGCTCAGAGAGTGAAGCTGTGTGACCATTTAAGTTTGCCCACTTTTTAGCATTATCCTCATGTAGCACAACTACAGCAACTAGCATTGACTTGAAGCTATTTCCATAGACCCATACCTAAAGAAACCGTGGCAAACGTAATTTAAATCACATTACTTCTTTGTACAATCAATTAAGAAACTAATCAGAAGAGATTCTCACGTCATCAACAATTGGAGTGACTCCATAAACATTTTCCAAATACTCTAGCGCCACGTACTCTCCCTGGGAGAGCTTAATAAGATTTTTCTTCCTATCGATAATCTTAACAACTCCATTAGGAAGCATTTTCCCTATGTCTCCTGAGAATATCAAAGAACGGGGAAATTAGAATGCAAGATTAGTTATTAAAGGTCAGTTTGTTAGTTTGACAGGAAATTGAACCGCCAACCTGTATGAAACCATCCATCCTTTATAGATTCTCTAGTCAGTTCAGGATTTTTATAATATTCAGAAAAAATAGTCTTCCCTCTCACGCATATCTCACCACAAGGAGGATTTCCTAGTGGATTGTAGCCCATCTCTGAAACCTCCTCCAGGCGCAACTCATTGTACACAGCTGGGGGCCCAACGGTACCAACCATGCACATCTCATCTGGATAGCCAACAGCGCAAGCTCCACAAGTTTCTGTCAATCCTAAATGAACCACAATGCAATTTGTTCAATGGAAATTTTAAAATCTGATCAGCATTCTGCCTAGAGAAACCATCAAAACACCCAAGGCAACCTATACGCCAAACTTTAACAAGCGATGCCTGTAGGAATAGGGAACTTTAAATATAAATAAATAAGAGAAAAATGAAAATATCCATGATGTTTTACCAAGAGAGTATAATAGGATATAGCTAAATTGTCGTTTTGAAGGTGAACTAAGAGATAAACTCAATATAATAATTTATTTTCTTCCCAAAGTGCTACGAACTGCAGCAGAAGTTTACACTTTCTAACAATCAAGACAGACCCCTTTCTTACCTCTTTCTTTAACTGTCTTAACAGAACCTAGATAGCATGTGCCAAATTTTATATGCTGCTATAGACAGGAATTTACCATAGCCTTGGACAACAAATGCACAACAAGTGACCCGCAGGAATTCCTCTACTTCAGAGCTCAATGGTGCACCTCCAGATATTAATAATCGAAGCCGACCACCTAACTTAGCTTTCACCTAGAAAAATGGACAAAAAGATGATAACAGGTTAGGTGGTTGAGAGATTATTTTCTCTGAAGCTTTAAAAACACACTTTCAAGGGAATGGCAAAGGCGATGCATCGGGGAGAGTTGGTCTTGTTTTAAATTAGCGTCCAGAATTATAAAGCCAAAGACAAGGTAGCACTGAAATTTTACAGCCATTATCAACAATGCAAAACAGACGAATCGTACATTGGTGTAACTTAGACCCATCACTCAAGGTTCCACAATGTTGAACATAGATGCATGGCAATCATCAAGCTTCCAAATATCGCCAAATTTTCATATAAAAGAGTAAGCTTTTAAAGCAGACCAAACACTACCTTCCTGAAGGCCAATAAATCTGCTAAAGGTGATGCCTGTTTATGTTTATATCCACGATTCATCCAAGAAAGTTTGCTGTAACCAAAACAAGAATGCATCAGCATCTTGGTCATTTTATATGCACTTTTACTACAAGAGTAGAAGGGACTAAGTTACTCTTTGCAGGGAAGACTGCCTTACTATTTGTAGAGAAAGTCAAAAATTCGCCTCCGCAACGGACTCAATTCTTCAAGTGCCTTTTTAATACCTAAAAACAGATAAGTTTTGATGGGTGAATCATTGCCACTTCAAATCAATCAGCATATAAAAGTTTTCCAATGGCTTGCCTTCATGAATCATATCAAAAACTCGGGGCACACCAGCTAAAAACGTTGGCTTCAACTCCGTTATATCATCCCGCAGTTCCTTCAAGTTCTACAAGAGCAAACATATTTTCGAAAAAATGTTATGATCAATTTTTAATTGCACTGATTTTACAAAAGTATGAGTATTTATGACTAATCAGGCACATTTAATTTGGTAAGGAAGATCATATGTGAGCATTTGGTTTGTGGACAGAGAGAATCACAATATCCATTCTCTTTTTCCTCCTATCTATGGTCCTATGCTTCTCTCTCCATAATTCCACCATCACCATACCTCTGGCATGGTAAGCACCATTCAAGGTGTTAACATCCTGCTGTGACTGTTACTTCACTAATGCTTATTGATTAAAAGTTCATAATGTCCTTAACAAACCCAGACTCCCTCCCCTCAGGGTGCATGGCAGGGGCACCCTCCCCCCCCCCTCTCCACCCCCCTCTTGTTTTAAATTTCCTCAACCAAAAATGAGAATACTAAGGTTTTCATTGTCAATGATAACTTCAAATCATTTTCTCCTCTCTTGTCTATTCTTCACATGTAAGTACAGACCCAAAGAGTTGCTGATATGTTTAAGAAACAGAGTTCCAGAAGCAGACCCCATGATAGTAGCCGACAGATGCTCCTCTATGGAAAAAGTATTCCTCAATCACGCGGTCAAGGATATGAGCAAGGGGCAGGAAGGACAAATATACATCATTCACTGTCATCTGCTTAAGAAAAGGATATATCAGGAACGTGAACCAACATTATACTTATACAAAAGGCACATGTAAGAGCACCATGCAGTTTTAACACAAAGTTAACATTAGCAAGAAAGAATACCCTTATACTACTTGAACAACAGGAGAAAATTATATCTTCTAGAGATAGTCTCTATGAAGTTCAAGCATTAAATATACCTTGTCTTCAAATTGATCCAGGAAAAGATCAACCCCATATACAAATGTTGCAATTGTTTCATGTGTTAACACAACACCTTTAGGATCTCCACTGGTGCCACTTGTATACATAATTGTGCAAATGTTAAATGGTTGAGGTGGCGAAGTCTCGTGTGGATTTTTCTTTCCCTGATGAAAGGATAGGCCCCAAAATAAAATATAGGAAAGAATAGAAAAACTAATTGCACGAAAAAGTCTCTCACAACATCTAAAAAGGTGAAAATGAATTTCAACAGATTTTAGTATGGTAGATTTTGATGCAAAATCAATAAGTCAAATTGATGATTAGTCTGTAAAAGTTCTGCTGGAATTCACATTTAAAAGACTAAAATGTGCAGAAAACATGGTACCTCTAAATAGATTTTTCCATAATGCAATCTAAATTTTTAGCATATGTTGTTATACTAGCACGAGAAAGTTTTAGGATGGAATAAACAGTTACAAAACATTGCCACCCCAAAAATGAAAAAGAAAATGAATATTTTAGTCCATCGGAAGTTGAGTTAATCTCTCTCTGTCTCAGAATATTGAAATTAAGACTGAAACCTAACCATGCAGAGAAACTCGATCCATGAGTACGCCTTAATCCCCAATTGAGATGCCTTAGCATTGTTTTCCTCGGTCAATGAGGTGAAGCAAACCATTGCTGCCACCAGAATAAAACTCAGAACAGAGCCTTAGCAGTTTCAGCAAACTAAAGTTTATTTAGTCATTTTTCACCTTTCAGCCGTTGAGCAGATTTACAATTTGGATCCAAAAGCTGCAAAGGCATGGGTAAAACCAGAATGTTGATTTTGAAATTGGACGGTAATATGGAAAAGGACATTAGTTAAACCAAATAAAAGTCACTTTGTTTAGCTTACTTCTTTTACTTTTATGTCTTGTACAAATACAAAATCAACCTCTGCATGATCTATAATAAAATTGACAGCTCCTGGCCCTGCACACAAGTTACAAGAAAAGGAAGCTTAAGATTACGCTATGGTTGCTGACCAATTTAAGATCTGAATAATGTACAACTGATATCAGAAAAACATCTGGCAACATGCACAGAAATACACTAATTGATGCATTCAGCCAATTTGAAGATTGTCAGCTAGTATCCTTCAAGCATAATGCTAATTAGTTCAATTGTATCATCTAGACTAGAATGCAAAAGGAGTTGAATATTCCACACCACTCAAATCCACAGTGAGACCAACAAATAGCAGTAGAAGGTGGCATTCATCCTAATGGTCCAAACTATATGTACATCATCATGTATGGTGGAAACACCTTCTACAAAGATCAACTAAGAATCTCCTAGGTTAACTAACTTATTAACCAGAAAAGATCTCACTATAATGGGGTTTAGGAAGGGTGATTGAACAAGTGTATCTTGAACTGCTTTTGTACTTGTTAGCCCCAAAGTTTCATTATTGCAATTGCAATAGACAATGGGGGCATTAAGAATCTCAAATGTCAAACAATCAAATTAAAAAAAAAAAAAAAAAGAAGTTGGCTTGTGCAGGGAGAGATCATAAAATTTACAGTGAAAGAAGGAAATTTCTCGAGAGGCATTTACCCAGAGTATCATAGAGAGGCACACAAACCACACTGTGGGCACCACAAGCCTACAAACATCGGAAAAAGGATAAAGGTTACAGGGCCTTTCCAACGAGTGCCCAAAGGGCACTTGAAAGCTCACTATTTTAAATAGATTTTATATTTGATACAATAGTTACCCTGAATTCAGAAAGATTTTTGCATTTGATGCAAGAACGTTCATAAAAATAGTGAACTTAACAATAGCTGTCAGGATATGCCCATGAAAGGACGGAAAAAAAAAAGTTATTATTTAAAACTTCAGGTAAACACTTCATACAGAAAGTCTGAAAGCACACCTCCATTGCTAGAATCCACTGTGGGCAGTTTGCTCCATAAATCCCAATCCGACAGCCCTGCCACAAGAATGCAAGGAAGACAGCGGAGAGAAAAGATCAGAGAAAAAACTAATGTTGCTTTGCTCCCAAATTTTCATCGAAAGATCATGCAAATTACAAGGCCTCGAAATAAGGACATAATTATCCTTACAGGTTCAGCACCAGATGCTCGCAATGCAGAACCAATGTGCAGAACTTCATCATAAACTTCCTTGTATGTCTTCCAGATGTAAGCGCCCGCCTAAAGACTAAACAAAGTCAAGAAGCAGCTTGTACAAATCTCATCCAAATACTGAAACTGCTTTTAAACATAAATTCTACCTTTCCATCAACCATTTTTCGCCATCCAAGCATCCTGTTCCCACTGTGCTTCCGAACAGATGAACTGCACATGAAGATCCTTATTGTTGTCAAAAAGGCAAAAAACAAACACTAAAAAAGAAACTACTAGTATGCTAAGATATTTAGTTTGTGCAAGAATAGTTTAGGCCAAAGTCACCACACAGTGAACTTGCAACTTCATTAGTCTAATTCATACACTAGATAAGGCCTTCCTTTAGGCTTTTTCCCCCTGTTTTTTCTTCTTTAATTTTATTTTTAACATCATCCAGTATTATTGGATTGCCCCAAGATGTTAATATAAGATCAACATAGCTTTCACTTCAAACCCTAAGATCTACCATATGGCAAACTTAGTGGAAAATATAAGCATATTTCCGTTTTCCAATTGTATACCAAAGAACAAGCAGCTGAAATCCATATGAAAGAGGCTGTGAAAAGTAATAACTACAAATGAATGCCCAACGTACACAGTTACCTGAAAAGACTCCAAGTAGTAGACATATCGGGATCAGGTGGAGGATACCCATTCTTGGCAAGTAAGTTACGATATATGGGACCAACTGATGGCTTCCCATCTTGTCCCTCTCTTCCATCCTCCACCTTAACTGAAAAAACTTTCATTTCTTCCATCGACAGAATTTCTGCAGGGAAAACTCTTCGCACATAAGTGACTTGCAAAAGACTAAACAAAACCAAGTGTAGTTCAACATATGGCAAAAAATATATAGCAACTATCAGGTCAATGAACAGGAAAACAAGGAATCAAGTCTTCCATCCCAATTAAGCCATTAAATAGCATTAACTGAGACAGTGAGGTCAATGGCAAAGTACAGAAGAGAAAATTACGAGTCATGAATGGTGCTAACTAATATATATGGACAAAAAGGTGATAAAAATCAAACAAACATGATTTTCAAAGTTCACTTCAAATCAAACACAAAAGGAAGTAGAAACGAAACAAGTTCAACTTCTGATAACTTTCACCAGCTGACAGAAATCCAAACCTGAAATCTTGTATGGCCAAAGTAAGTGAGCACTTAAAGGACATATATGTAAATATTAAAATAAAACAAATACCAACAGCCCACTAAATATGCATGACCCGAAAGTAAAACAACCTTTAGAAAACCGTTGGCGCAACTTGCCAAAAAAGGGAAAAGAAAAAAAAAGAAACCCAGAGACTGATGCTTACAAGAAAGCAAAGAAACCCCAGAGTTTTCAAGAAAGCAAAGCAGGTAAGGGTGCTCCTTTCAAAGTATAGTCATGAAACCTGCGAGAAATCCCGTGAATATAAGGGAGGAAGGGAAAGAGGGAAGCCAAGTCTCAGGTCCGTTGTCAATGAGTTTGTTGCAACAGACCGTCAGTGTGTTTGTGCTTCCATTTATTGCAAACATTTATTGCACCTTTTGCTTCAATTCTCTAATTCTTTCACGGAACGTCAAGTTTTTTCCTTTTGTTATTTTTCCTCTCCCAGAACTGGAATAGGTTGTGAGGTTTACAATTGGTATTGCGTGGCATTTTTAGCAAGATACGCTGCGCTGTGCCAGGAAACGGAGGGGAAAGGGCTAAACTTCGGAATTTGTAGCTTCCAAGATAACGGATGGGTTCTTCTGCTTTTTGGATTTTCCCAGAGCTTTTATATGTGCACAAAAATCTTTATTTTTCTTAGCAAAATATAAATAAATATAGAAATATCTTTACAATATGTATTTATAAGCTTTTTTTATTTATAGAAATATCTTTACTTAAAAACACGTAAAAGCTTATTACTATATAAGCTCTTTCTCATCAATATACTAGTTGTAGGTACTAAATGAAAGGTGGTTAAATTGTCTCACAAACAATTGCAAGTAGTATTGCTTTTAAAGAAACAAATGATCACGGTTGGGTGTTAGTAGTTTTACAATAATAAGTGGCTTTTTTTTTTTTTTTGAAAAGCAGTAACCTTGCCATTACCAGGGGGGAAAGTGATTTCCCCTTGTATGCTACATCAGAAAATCATCTGGCAGGGGTCAAAAGCATATTGGTTCATATGCTCCCATTGTGAGTACATTTACCCAATATCTTTAGACTTACCATAAAGCCTTCAATATCAGGCCAAGATCCTGACCACGTGAACAAAAATCAGACCATACAAAGAAGAAAGCAAGAAACAAATCCCTGTACCAACAGAAAACAACACAGGTCTTACTTTCAATGGGTGCCTATGAAAGACCCTTTTCCCCTTTGCCCCTACTTGTCATTCGTACTTTACTTATTTGGGGGAGAGTTAATACATTCACAAGAAAACAAAGGAATTGCATATGCACTTTCATTGGATCAATACTTCTCAGTGCAATTTGAGATCACTTGTGATATTTCAGGCTGACAACTGAGTTTTCTTTTTCTCTTTTTTTTTTTTTGTCTCTTTTTCTTAATGGACAAAGACAATTCATTGTGTGAGCAGATGAGGTCTTGTGGGTAAATTTGGTGCCCTTATAGTTGTAATAATAATTAAATAGGCTGAAAGGTGAAAGCTGCATGGAGTCACCATTGGACAGTTGAATCTGCATTCATGGCGTTTCCAGCCACTCCACCTAACTATTAAGGGCAGCAATTTGTCATCTCAGTTGATATTATAGGTATGGACACTGCTTTTTCTTTCTTTTTTGTGTTTTGGGTTAAACATATTGACCTTTCAAATCTTAACCATGAGTTCTTCATTCATAATATAGATAACATTTAGTATTCGATGTATGGATAAGATGGACTATGGTTGAAAGGAATTTGACTAAATTAAGTTTTAAGGTAAGCAATCTACTTTAATGATAAAAAATTAGTTTAATCAATTTGTCACAAATTATAGTATTCAGTAATAATTTTTAAAAGTCTACATGAGTCAGGTTAAGTTTCCTTAATACATTTAAAATTTAAATTCAAATTCAAATTCAATTCGATCTGTTTATATAAATTATATTTATTATTAAAATAGTTTAAATATATTTTATATTAATATTTTAATACTTTAAAATATATTTAAAGTTAAAATTTAATAAAAATAAGTACTCATTAATTTAACCGTATATTTGGATTGGACCAAAAATCATACTAAAGTCTAATTTGAAACCTTAAGTAGGTAGCTCGGCTTGTAGATATCTATTATTTTCGCAAAATTTAATTTGTCACTCAATGCATTAATACACATTAGTTAGTTCTTTAAAATTATTACATAAAATAATATCTTTATTCAATATATTTGAAATCATCATATCACTGTTAATTGTTTTATTTAATTCATAAAATATAATTATAAATTACACCTATATCTTAGGGCATTCATTAACGAAAACTTAATTTTCATATAGGAAGTGCTAGAAAGAAACATAACAAACTGGATTCAACAACTTCACCTAAAATTTACTATTATTAATCTATTATTTTATTGCAAAAATTAAATAACATGAATTTTGTTAGAAGTTATTTCATCAGGCATGGAATAACAAATACTATAAGGGATTGGATTTAGTTAAACTTTATTTTTCAGTGATTTTGGAGAATATATATTGTAAAAAAAAATAGTTATTCCTTGAATCATTTTACTAATCAACTGAGAGAAAAAATAATACACGAAAATAGAAGGAAAATAGCTATTCCTCGCACAACAAACATGGTCTTAGAGGCTTGGGTCGGTTTCCTCCAACCCCTACCAATCTTTCCTATAAAAGAGAGACCTTTAACCACCACCTACTCTGACTGACTATAAAAGCCATTATTAAGTGGGGATACGAGATCGAGGTTGGAATGGTTTAAGCCATCAACAACTATATATAATACTTAGAAACCAATTTTAATGATGGTTTAAGTTTGTGACCCCCCATATAGTTATGCGTTGAAGATGCTGGTAGAGGGCCCAATTACGGATCAACAACTTCCATGTACCTAGCTTGCTACATATATATCCTTTATTGGAACTTATTTCCCGTAACAGGGGAAACATGCATTAAC